GTGTATAGGTATCTTTTTTATAAAATTACTTCTTTTCCTTTGGGTAGATCCCTAGTGGTGGGATTGCTGGATCAAATGGTAGATCTACTTTTAGTTCTTTGAGAAATCTCTATGCTGTTTTTCATAGAGGTTGTACTAATTTACATTCCCACCAACAGTATATAAGTGTTCCCTTTTTACCACATTTGTACCAGCATCTATTGTTTTTTGACTTTTTAGCAATGGACATTCTGACAGGGGTGAGGTGGTATCTCACCGTGATTTTAATTTACATTTCCCTATTAGTGATGTTGAACATTTTTCATATATTTTTTGATATTAGGCTATTGTCAGATGTCTAACTTGGAAATATTTCCTCCCATTCTGTAGGTTGTCTGTTTACTCTGTTGATTATGTCCTTTGCTGGGCAGAAACTTTTTAGTTTAATTAAGTCCCATTTATCTAGTTTTGTTTTTCTTATATTTGCTTTTGGGATCTTACTCATAAATTCTTTGTGGTCTCTGTCCTTTGGGGACACAAAATTGCCCACATTCCCAGCTCCCACCCTGACCCAGCTACAGCAGAGGTGGTGCGGGCAGCTCAACCTGCTGTATGCAGGGTTACCAGATTGGCTGTGGACTATGGCTGAGATGCTCCAGTGGGGAAGGTGTGTATGTGCCAGGGACTTTCCTCCGGGGGGTAAGGTCCTCCCAGAAGAGAAAGACAGCTAGGGGGGAGGACTGCTAGCCCCATCCTCCTTCAGGAAGCCATAGCTTTAGTCCTTAGGGAAACAAAAGCCCTTGCTATGGGTTTTTTGAGGAAAGAGAATGTGCCCCAAGCTCTGTGGAATCCTGGGTGTGGGACGGCTGCTCCCCAATGCCCTGGCCTAATCTGATGTGGATCCCTCTCTTGTCCTGAGCAGAAACAGCCATGGCTGCCTGGGCAGCAGCAGGTAGAGAAGGGGAGGAGGAGGAGAAGGCCCCAAATGATTGGGAGCTGGTGCCCTGGTCCCCTTTGTCTTAAAGGACCTTCTTGCATGCTGCATTCTCCTCTCAGCTAGAGGCAGCCCTCCCTGAATACCCAAACTCTGGGAGACCCACAGTTCCCCTGAGGCCCACAGTCCCCTAGGGCTTCTGTGGTCTAAGCTGGTGCTAGGGAGCTTTGGCTGTGAATCCGGCGATGTAGAGACTCAGGGGCTGAGATTCCCAGGTTGAGATAGCTATAAAAGCAATGCCTGTCCATGAAAGGAGGGAAATGAGCCACCCCCTCTGTGCAGAACCCAGGCACAGTAAGCAGAGTACTATTGGGGTGTGCCTCATACCACCCTCCCCCCACCCCAGCCTAGAATTTGTTGTCCCATAGCTCACCCCACCAATGGCTCATGCTTGGGAGCAGAGGCAGCGGTATCTACCACATTGGGTGGTTGGAGGAGGGGAAGTTCTCATCTCCACGTCCCTTCCTGGGCTGCCCAGCTTTAAACTCCCAAAATGACACTGTCGGCCTGGTTGGCTATTGTTTTTATGTTCATTTCTTTTTTTTTCTTTTTAAATTTGTGCTGTCCTAATTACATTTAGATTGATTTATGCTATAATTTAATTACTTGTACTATAGTTGATGACTGTTAGTACTGTTGCAACATTTGGATTAATCTGTTTTTATGCTTGTAAAGAAAGTCAACACAGAATAGAAATGAAAGTGATTATCTAACCAATTACTCTAATCAGTCATTTGCTTATTCAAATTCTGTAAGGTATGTAGTATTAAAATATGAACAAGGGGCTTGACATTACCCTGCATGGAACTTGTATTCAGGTTTCTTGAGAGTAATCTTCAAAAACATCACAGAATTGCGTTGAGGTCATACATATTAGGAGACATCCTTCATGGCACTTAAGTGCAAAAGAGAGCAATTATAATGAAAACACTTATCGAAAGTGTTGATAACCAGAAAATAAGTTTATTTGGTAGGATAAAAGAAAAATATCAGTTTTAAAACTAGAGTTTGAAAATGTTTAAACTACTTAATTTATGCAATCATCGATTTTTATGTCAAAATATATTAGTAT